ATTTATAATAGTATGTTGAAATGTTATTTAAAAGAGGTTGGAATTCTTTTGTTTTCTTATCGTCATCCATTTTGTTGAAAAGTTGTTTGTTTTTTTTAGTGGGACTATAATATTGCGCTTAAAACATGCTAAACAAATGTAATAATTATTGAATAGTAAATAAAAGTGAGAATAGACATTCTAAAAGTTGATGTTTCTTTATATATTTTGGAAAATGAGGGGTTCCTGGCCAGAAGCTAATGTTGCTTGTGGGGCCATGGTGTGGAAAAGTTTGGGAACCCCTACTGTAAAACGTGCCTCTTTCTGGTCCTGACATGCTATGAGAGAATAAGCAGCAGAGCAGTTGAAACATGCCTTACCCAGGCTTGTAGGCTGCAGAGTGGGGGATGGAGAACRAGCAGCATGCAGAAAAGGGTCTGGTTGCCCCACGTTACCTGGTCCGAGGAATGAACCCATCATCTCCTGAGGCTTGGACATGGGAGCTTTTCCAAATGGATCAAACGCTGAGGGAGGTTAAAAAAAAGGTGTTGCTTTGCTTTTCACTGCAAATGATCAAAAGTTACACAAAATGGTGCAAAGTGCTTTCAAACATCTGACCTGGTGCAGGAGAGGGAGATGGTGATGCAGTGTTTGAAGCCACTTTGTGTGGAGTGGACTGGGTGGACGAGGGTCCACTGGTCGGCTGTGGTGGTCCACCAAACAGGTCCCCGAGGAGGTCGGTGCTCACAGCTGCTGAAGTCGGAGGTTGAGACAAGTGGCAGGGACGGTTGATGTCCTCCCCGCCCAGACCGAGGAGGTCCACCTCCTCGGCAGGTTGGGGCGCGGCAGGCGCCGGCGCCGGGGGTTCTGGTCTCTGYGAGGCCGTGCTGATGCTGCTCCGCTGGCTGGAGAGCGACAGCATTTCGTCGTCGGAGGCTTCGCTCTCCTCCCCGTGGCCCCGACCTTCTGCTTGTTGCCGGCTMGGCTCTGACGGGGAAAGAACCAGAATATGTGTGAATGTAGGAGAACGCTGGGAAAGATGCATCCAAGCTGATCGGAGCGAGTTRTTCAACAAAGCGGGACGGAAAAAAAGCAAAAACAAAAAGCAGTCTAAGARAAAAGGTCATCACTGCTACAAGCTACAACTTTTCTCCTAATACTTTGTACTAGACATTTGCACCCGCTTCGGATGTTATCATCCATTAAATGGACGTTATTAGTCATTATCAGTCCCATACAATGGYTGCAGACTGGCTTCAGACTGTCCCGACTGTGCCGCCTACTGGGTTCTCCATCCCATAGAATGGCTTCAGACTGTCAGCTGGTTAGTACGAGGCATAAAGCCACTAAGGTTTTTTATGCAATCTGGTTARAATGAGGCATAAAGCTACATAGGTTAATTTTAKAGAAAATGACATGGGCTACGATAAAGTAGACCGGACTCCGGCGGTAGCAGATTGTTGCCTTCCAACGTATATGGTACTGGTAACCCTCTAGGGGGCACTGTCGGGACAGTCTRAAGCCATTCAATGGGACTGATAACCGCTAATAACGTCCATTTAATGGACTGATAAAATCCGAACCGGCTGACATTTGCACAAAAGGCAAACACTGGCTGCAGCTGCTAAACAGATCTACGTAAAAAATGTATTTTTTTCCGTTTCTTCATACAGGTACTTAAACTATAGGGGTGGGGATGTACGTAAGGTTAACCTCAGCTAGTGTCAATCAAAAGCATTTATCCACCTTGGTAGAACATTAAAAATTGATTTTTGCTAGAGACTGCATGTAAATTGTGTTTTGGACACAAGCAGAAAGAGGAAAAATACTGTCTGCTGCCATCACATCAGGGAATGAATGTTCAGAAATTTGTTGAGGCTCATCGTTTATTCTCCAGAGGGCAGGAAGTCATCCTGTAAAGTTCTACCAAAGTGATAAATTACCACARGACATGGGTTTCATTTCAATTTAATCAATGCAGAACGTAAACACGAAAGGCCAAACAGAGTTTCCCAATAAGAGAAAATGTAGCTGTCAATATTTTAATCTACTTTGAAGAGTGGGATTGAATTGAATGAAGACCCTGTTAAAAATAGTCACTGATTGTTTCGTCTGACAGGCCTGTGATCTCCATGTCTTACCCTCCAGATCCAAGCCCTCCATCTCATCTTGCAAGGACAAAAATTAGATACGTTAGTGTTTTGCTTTGTTTTTAGTACTGGGCATAGATTAAAATTTAAATTCGCAACTAATCTCATGATATTTTTGTTATTGATTGCGATTAATCTAATTTCTTTTTTTAGGAACGCTTACTCTATAGCTGAATATGTGTATAAACAGTATGTTGCAATACACTCCATATATGACACACTACTGTATGCACATATTTTTTATGTTATTGTTTTTTGTTTTAGCTTCTTGTCAGTCTTTTATTGCTTAGTGGGGTTTTTTTTTTCATTGCTGCAGCTCAGACCTCAGTATCTATCTTTTGTTCTTTGTGAAGACTACTCATTTGGAATGACAATAAAAATGTCTTGAATCCTTTGATTAATCTCATTTTTAGGCACAACCTTTAATTATGACTCAAAGATGTTTACAGCATTTTTCAGTGACTGTTTTATATAGTAAAAACGTGCAGTGTATTTTCAAAAACATAAAAAAAGGAAATAAATAAGGCAAAGCAAGCCTGCCGTACTTTTTTCTCCCACACACTGGTCAGCCCCGTTCGTAGAACCCTCCTGAGTTTGTTATGGTGGTTTTCATATTTAAATGAYATTTCAGGCTTGAAATACTCCGGTGGTGAGAYWGTTCAGYGTTGCAGSATTTACAGATAAATATACTTATTTCCAGCCTGCTGTCAGGAGTTTTAAAATAAATAAAAAAATGMCCTGAAGAATGCGGTGACTTCTGACATGTTTCCTTTTCCGGCTGCTCGGGTTCATGTGAGCTGCTGCGCGTTGCCCTTCAACACATCAGCAACAAATGCTCTCATTGGTTGAGACGCGTGACGAAGGCCATCTAAAGCCAAAAGCATTCAAGAACCCATCCCACGTCATGACCACTGGCATCGTGTGTGTGCGTTCATAGTCAGTGAACCGAGATAAATATAAAGAAATGAGCTGCGCTAACGGGCGCTAAAAAATTATCAACGGTAACGCCTTAACTTGCCTAGACCTAGTTTTTTTGTATTAACATATTGCATTTTTTTCTCATGTGACAGCTGGTTAGTTTAGTGTGTACAGCAGGTGTCTTATGAAGGGAATATGTGTTACACACAATGTGTGTGTACGTGAATAGGCATCAAATTGTTTAAACTGTGTATTTTTATGTTTGTATTTTATATCATGATTAGGGATGCAAATAATTAATCGACTTACGATTAATTGTCGAATAATGGTTTATTAGATTAAAATTTCTTCCATTCGATTAATTGAAAACATCCATTTAAGCCTTATTTCAGTGTAGTTTTGCCTTCATTCAGTAGATGGCACCACTGCTCTCAGCCTGGCCTTACTCTACCGCTGAGCTGAGCATAGAGCCGTCTCGATGTGGGCAGTGTCATTGCGCAAATCTTGTTTAATTGTATTTGCGACACAACAATGATAATGGACTAAACCAAACTCAAAGGAAAAGTATCGAAGGTTGTACCGGACTATCCAGCAGTATGACGCTTAGGACGACGAAGAACGGTTAGCTAACTTTAGCTAACGTTAGCTTCTTGTAGAGTTTGACTCCATGTGAAAGAACCAAAACAAAACAAAATAAAAGTTAGTCACTACAAATAATCACTGTGAAGTTAATCTCATCTGTGTGACGTAAYCCGGCCAGTGAACAAATCAAATGAACAGTAGCTGACGTCAAATCAATCCAGCCCAGATAGAACCACAAGGAATGTAAACAAACAGTTCCAGTACTCATTTGTATGTTTACCCCTCTCAGGTCATGTTTATAGTTTGTTTTTGAGTAAATCTTTAGATTTATATGTGACCCTGTATTTAAATGTTAGTGTTACACTTCTCTGTTCGGGGTGGATCAAGTGTTTTACCGTACTTATTTTATCTTTCCTTTTTTTTTAATTAGCAACCTAACAGATTCCTGTTTTTTATATTTTGTAAATATGTCCAAGTTTAATAATGTGTGAGAAATACAAAATTTTCTGTTTATTCAGTCAGTGTTTAATACAGCTGGCACAATAAATTTTATAAAATGTAATACTGTATTTTTTTGTTTAGTGTGTAAAAACATAGCATTTCATGTTATAGAAAGACCCTTGAATCAAGAGAAATGTCAGGTTTTTAGGAAAATGGTTGCTTATCAATTAATCGTTAGTCAATCAATAAGATCAATCAACTTTAGATTAATCCATTAATCAATAACTTGCATCCCTAATCATGATACAAAATTAGTTCAGCTTAAAAATATGTAAACTACATATAATTTCGCAATGTCATACGTAGATTTTATTAGCATTTACACTAATTTTTTCCAAATAACTGAAGTATTGTATTGGTGAATAGGRATGGGTAAAAACCCATGTGAGCGGGGGCCTCATAAGTGGGCCCATTACTCTCCCAAAGAGACACTGAGCTTTTAAACAAACCTTCACCTCAGTTGAAGGGCACCAGGTTAGAAACACTCAGTGTTCTGAGCTTCTCAGGATCCACAAAAGGTTCTCCAAGAATTCTTTCCCTTTGACTGCTCAGAGCCAGGCATTGACCTAAGTAGTGCAAAGAGGTCTCTAGTTCAATTCCACAGGCATCACACAGAACATTGTCATGGAGTCCCATCACCATTTTGTGGCAGTTGAGCAGGTTCTGCCCAGTTAGGACTCCAACCAGTGTACTTAAAGTTTTCCTTGTCAGTGAGCTTTCCCAAACCTAGGATTTGGGCCATTTATCAGYTCCYGTGYCTGTCTACAGYCCATCAGCTCCCTCCAGTGGATTGAGAGTTTATGTCTAATCCAGGCCTGCAGGGCAGTCCTACAGACTGTTGCTGAGGTACTTACAGCAGGCTATGGTTCTTTGAAGTGGGCCTGACTGCCAGCTTTTGCAAGGTAATCAGCACGCTTGTTACCATTAATGCCATTTAACAGTAACAMAGTTATCTCTCCCCAGTTGGTCGACTGCTTTGGCATACTCCTAAGCCAATAATGACATTAAGTGTGGCCCTTGGATAGCTCTAATAGCAGCTTGGCTATCTGTTATGGTACGTTCACACCGAACACGTTTTGAGCAGCAAAAATGCTCCCAACGCCTCAAGTTGGACGTGCTACGTTCAGACCGGGACACAGACCAGACGCGTCTGAAGAGGGAGGAGCGTCTTGTTTTTTTTCCAGTCTGTCTTCGGCAGATGAAATAAAGATAAAATAAAGAAAATGACTTTGCTTTATTTACAAAGAGCAAGCGAACGTTGCACACAGCAGATAATTAATTCACCAGATAATTTAGAGGCAGTCTGTTCGGTTAGTTTCACCACTCCAGGAGCTGCGCGCTGACAAACCATTTTTTTTGTCCCAAGCCCAGTTTATCAACGCGGTCAGTTTAATGAGCTGCTGACCCACGTCGCTGCTGGTATCTCCTGCCAGAAAACCAACTGCAGACGGTCCATTTCAGATAAAGAGCTCCTGTCCGTCTGTTTCGGTTTAGTGGGAAACATTCAGGAAACCGTCACGTGGAAAAATGAGTCTCTCTGATTGGTTGTGGCGGTACGGCGAGCAGCAAAAGTTCAGATTTTTGAACTTGAGCGTCAGCTGCTTTGGACGCACCGCATGCACGGAAAWCGCTATACCGCTACCTTCCGCTTCCTTGCGCGCCGCTCTAAACGGACTTGGTGCGCCGCGAGACCCCTAGAGGAGCGTCCACCATGGACTTCGCATGTAAACCGGCCACTCCTGCAGCTCAAAACGCGTTCGGTGCAAACATAGCGTTAGGATTAATATTTCCTTCTGTGTACACTGAAGTTCTGTAGTGAGAGATGCCACACCTAGTGGGTATCTGTACTCTCTTTCACTGTGGTTGTGCAAAATCAGCACCCCTGCGCCTCCTGACCCCTTCAGAAGGGATCCGTTTGTAAAACAGTAGAAACAGTTGGGAGACAGGTCCACCATAGAGAAATGACTCCAGGCTTACCTATCTTCAATCTCTGTCTTAAAGTTTGATTCAAAATYGTATTTTTTGACCATTCTGTCTCTGCAGTTACTGGAACAGCAGCAACTGCCCAGTTCCAGATTCTACTGTGCAAAGAACTGCAGTAAAAAGAAGCCGATTCACACAGAAAGAAAAATAAAAACTGACTAAATACGTAAGGATATAGTAAGGATTGCCCTGGTGACGCCTCCCAAGGGAGGTTCTGACAGATAAAATGGTTTAGGGTTCGAACTGCATTTTGTTTTACAACAGTACATATAAATCCCCCATAAATGTAAAGTCCAGCGCTGATCGATGTTCAGCGTTACTGCTCCCACAGTACCTGCAACAGCCAGAGCGTCCTGATGTTCCTGATGGCAGGAAAAGAGCACGCTGGGACTCAGGTCTTTACAGGGGAACTGCTCCCATGGTGGTGTCAGGTCTTTCTGCTTGTCCACCCCCTCTACCKCCATGTCCAATATGACGTGGAACAGCTGAGGGTATTTCTCTGGAGAATCGCAGGCGTCAAGCTCTGGTCTGAGAAGAAAATTAAGGTTTGAGAGGCGTAAAAGGAGGTGGGGGCTGTAAAGCATCGAAACTGTGAAATACTGGAAAAGAAAACGATAATTTGATTTCATGACAGTTTTTCTTACTTGTTAAATTTTAACATAGTTGTTCCAGGAGTGATGAAGCCAGTGTGGAACTGGATCTGAAAAATCTGGGTGTTGGACACCTAACAAGATAAAATAGTTGGTGTTTTTTTTTCCTTTATGACACATATGTGCTTAAAACTACTTTAACATAATAATAATAATAATATTAATAATAATAATAATAATGGTTATGATAATTTTGACATATACT